ATTATTTGAGTCTAGCGCTGAACTTCATTTACATATAAATGTGAACTGGCAATTTCCCTGGTTTTCCTATACACTGAATTTCCTAGGAATGCAACTACTGTGTAAACCGAGCAAAGCTCGTAGCTTATTTTACTTGGAACTTGGCCAAAGCTCCTCACGTATTCATAAAACCATGCTCGCAGTATGAGTCCCTAAGTCTGTGTTCGAGGCCGTGGCCTTCACAGTGATTCTGCGCATGGGGCAAGCCCTGAACTACTTCGTTATTTCTTGCAGTGTAGACACGCAGAGTATATACTTATCAAAGTACATACTATTTAATTATAAGCAATTTTGCTTTCATTCCTCCTATATCTCATGATTAAGGCATTATTTTGATTTAACTTGAAATCAGATGTGAAGACAGGCCATATTTTTTATGAACTTAATTTCAGGAGAGTAAAGGGGCACCATTAATATTTGCAATCCCAGGGCGCCTCGGTGGCACAGTCGGTGGAGCATCTCTTGATATTGGCTCAGGTCATGAAACCGGGGCTGTGGGATCGAGCCCTGCAACAGGTTCTGTGGAGCCTGCTTAGAATTCTCTTCCTCTCTCCCTCTGCCCCTCTCTTTGGCTCGTGCACACATGCTCTCTCTCTCTAAAATAAATAAATTGAAAAGAAACTATTTCCTATCCCTAGGGGGACTAGGCAGAGAACCCCAACACCACAAGGACGCATAAAGCAGGAGAAGAGATGGTGATCTTCTTTTTTCTTTTTTTTAATTTTTAAATGTTTTTTATTTATTTCTGAGAGAAAGAGAGAGAGAGACAGCGTGAGCAAGGGAGGGTCAGAGAGAGAGGAAGACACAGAATCTGAAACAGGCTGCAGGCTCTGAGCTAGCTGTCAGCACAGAGCCTGACGCGGGGCTCGAAACCACGAACCATGAGATCATGACCTGAGCTGAAGTCGGCCGCCCAACTGACTAAACCACCCAGGTGCCCCAGAGCTGGTGATCTTCTAATGAATCCTCATTATACAAGCCTCTGACCTGCCTGTGTGTGTCGTGCCTGTGTGTGTGTGTCCTTTATATTTTTTCGCACCAACGGGATCGTACTTAACACAGTATTATAAAAATTGCTTACTTACTTAAAAATTTATCTTGGACCTTTAGTCATTTCAGCACAGACAGCTCTGCTTACTTATTTTTAATTGGTTTAATTGGTCGCATACTATTTTGTGCTATGAAGGAGCCATCGTTTATTTAACAAGCTCCTGTTGACAGACACTGCCTTGTTTCCATTTGCTCGCCGTTATAAATAATTCTATAATTATTATACGGATATAGGTATCACTGTGCCTCTGCAGGAATAAATCTGCGACCTGCTTATGAAAGTTCTGGGTTAGAAGGTAGGTGGGTACATTTATATTTTGGATAGATATTGCCAAATTTCCCTCTAAAACAGGTTACACTGATTTGGAACAGTGTATGAAAATATTTGTTTCTCACACCTTCTCCAATGCTTGCCCTCCAGAAACATTTCAATCTTTGGTAAGCCAATCGAGTTTTTAAAGTGTCTCATGGTTGTTTTAATCTGCAGTTTTAAAAGCATGTGTCGGGGGGCGCCTGGGTGGCTTAGTCGGTTAAGCGTCCGACTTTCGCTTAGGTCGTGATCTCGCGGTTCGTGGGTTCGAGCCCCGCGTCGGGCTCTGTGCTGACTGCCAGCTCAGAGCCTGGAGCCTGTTTCAGATTCTGTGTCTCCCTCTCTCTCTGACCCTCCCCTGCTCACGCTGTCTCTCTCTCTCTCTCTCTCCTAGAAATAAATAAAAAACATTTAAAAAAATAAAAATAAAAAAAAATAAAAGTATGTGTCAGGTACGTATCTTTTCATATGCTGTTGGACATCTGCATTTTTTCCAGTGAATTACCAATCCATAGTCTTGACCTGTTTTTCCTACTGATTTTTTTCTTATTCATTTCTACAAAGCCTTTTGTGTATTAATAACATTAGCTTTTGTCATCCGTCTTCCACTTTCCCCTCTTAATTTTGTTCTTTGTCTTTTGAATATTTTTACATGCAGACCAAAGATTTACATTTTTAACAGTCATTTATACTAATTTTCTTTGTCTTTTATATTTGGAACAGATTTTAAAAGGCATTTTCTGCTGTAAGATTATAAAAAGCATCCCTCATTTTTTTCTAGTTTATTATGGTTCCATTTTTTACACTGAAAGGGTAGATCAACTTGGAATTTATTTTGATATAAAAAGTGAGGTATGTATCCAACAAGCCTAGCTGTCCCAACACCATTAACTGAATGATTTATCTTTTCTCTACCTATCTGAAATACTACATTTCTGAATCCCCCTATCTATTTGGATCCATTTAAGGACTCTCTATGCCGTTATATTTGTCCTTTTACTTCAGTTTCATACAAATAGTTTTAGGGGTGCCTGGCTGGCTCAGTTAAGAAAGCAAATGACTTGTGATCTTGGGGTCATGAGTTCAAGCCCCATGTTCGGTGTAGAGATCATTTAGGTAAATAAATAAATAGTTTTAATTGCTGTTGCTTTATCATAATGTTTTTAAACAGGCTATGACTTTTGCTCATTTCTCTATTTCAAAAATTTTTAAGCTATCCTTCAGTGCTTATTTTTCCAGTATTCAGTGGCATTTTGACACGTACCCCCTCAAAAAATTCTGTTACTATTTGATTGGGATTGCTTTGAACTAGTAGATTACTTAGAGAAAACTGACATCTTTATGATATTGAGTCTTCTTCCCCTAGAACAGGTTATATCTCTCCATTTATTCTTTTATGTCCCTTGGTGGAGTTTAAAATGAAGTTTATTCCTCAGCATTTTTTGGGGGGTACTATTGTTAAAGGACTCTTTTCTTCTATTGTTTTTCTAGCTAGCTGTTGTTTAGTCACCAAAAAAGCTAATGATTATATTTATAATTAGAAAACTTCCAATATTTCGACATCAAGCATACCGTTACACAAAATCAAGCAACACCAAGACATGGGTAAACTTTTTAAAAATAAATTAAATTTTTAAAACTTTTAATACAATAAAATAGCTCTGAATTGCACGTGATCACGAAGTGGTCCTGGATATAGTTAAGAGCTCTTCAATTCATGTAATACTGATTTTTCCCAATAGCCTTCATCTGCCCACCTCATAACTTTCGTTCATAGCCCTGTGTGGTCCGCCACAGAAATACTCCCTCAGCAATGAACATGCAGGAAAACACACCTCTCTGGAAGGGCATGCAAAAGAGCCCACTATCTCTACTTCCCGCAGAAGAGGCAGAGAATATTTCTTCCAAGGTAGCCATCCACTACCTGAGTGCTTTTAATATTCCACAGCAGGTAATTTAATGTGGTTTTTAGGAAAGATGAAAGTGAAAAGCAACACAAAGAGTAATAATGAGTCAGAGACTAGAATTATCTCCAAAATTAAAAAAAAAATTTTTTTTAAAGATCAAGCACGATTCTGACTTGGGTCTGAATCAAGTCTTTGGTCAAAGGTTTACCTGAAAACCCAATCCACACCCAGACCTTGCTGCTTGGGCAGCTAAAGGCTTCTGGGACATCAGGGGAGAGGGCCTCATGGGGCATCTGTGCTGCTAGTAAAGCCTCGCTCTAACGGAGGCCCCCACCCTCTATCCCTGTCCTGGTGCTGACACCTCCCCACCTGTGCTGGCCCAGCTGCCCCCGACACTGGCCAGGATCTGCAAACAGGGCCTCTGCTGCTTCTACCTGAGCCCCATGAGCCTCGGTGCCAACCTCTCAGCACAGATCTCAGAGCTGGGTCCTCTCTGTCTCAGAGCCCATGTGACATCCAGCCCTCTCCTCTAAAGCTCTAACCCGAGCCTACACCCAGCTTCCCTGGCTCAACCATAGCCCACCTGCACTTCTAAGAACTCCTTGTCTCTGTTACTTCTTACCACGTCCTGGCTACCAGCCTGTAGGGACATCCTGCTACCCCCAGCTGGACCCCAAGGCTCTGGCCCAAGTGCACCCTCAAGCCTCCTATTATCTTTCTGTATCGTATCTGAGACTGCTTCCTGCCCGCCAGTTCGGACAAACTTCCAGGGTCTGTCTTTCCATGTTATCCCACTGCTGCTGGGGCAGGAAGAGGTGTCTGCCTAACCCGGCTCTTGCAGTCCAGCCTTTCCTGCAGCAGCAAGCCCAACAGAGTGACCGGCCACCACGAGAAGGCTCTGAGAAGAATAATAACGGCAACATGTATCGGGTGCTTGCTGTGTGCTAAAGAAGAGCCTAAGCACTTTGGATGTATTATCGAATCAATCCTCACAATAAGACTATGGGCTAGGTGCTATCTATCACCATTCTCATTGTAGAGATTTCTTTAAAACATAGCCCAGAATTCTTATATAATTTACCCAAGATTCGACAGTTAGTCAATGGCAAGTTCAAATCCAGCAGTGCCTCCAGAATCCAAACCCAATCTTTATACTGACAGCTAAAGAGGCTGGCCCTGGGCCTTCTAGAAAGGCAACTGCATTGCATACGCCAAGCACCTTCCAGCCAAAACCTCTTATCCTTCCTGACTCAGCCTCTGCCTGAAAATCTGAAATACCAATGCCAATCTGCCAGGACTCTGCTCCTTCTCAAGTGTCACCAGCCAGGTTGCCTTTCCCATGAGAGGGATAAATCCCAGATCTTTGAACCCCCAGCTGTACCCACAGGAGATCCCGAAGCCACCACGGCCCCTCTTGTCATGGGCCTTCCCAGCCCTCTGTCCCAGCTCACAGCCCATTTGGCACTTGCTCTCCTCCAGCCTTATTAGAGCGATATACAGCCATGTCTCATCACAGCTCTAGGCCCCGGCAGTCTCCCGCCTGATCGATTCCAGGGCCCCAGAACCTTACTAAAACAAAAATCGCCAGTCAAGTCCAAAAGCACCAAGCTACTCTTCGCCCCTCTCCATGCAGGCATTCTCAGTCTCTATCAGTCTCTCTCTCTCACCCCTCCCGCCACCCCAGGTGCCCTCACCTGTCACAATGGGGTAGGACTGTGGCCCAGGCACGCTGCTCCCAATGTCAGTGGGGGTGGGGCTGGTCAGGTTGGCCTTCATGTCATCCAGCCCTCCAGCCAGCGAGGCCATAGCTGAATACTCCGTGGTCTGCAAGAGGAAACAAAACAGAGATATCTCAGCATCAAGACTCCAAAGCACCCCAGCCAAATGCCACGGCCACATTCTGGGGTTCAGCCACCTAGCTGGGCTAGCCCAGGCCAGTGCCAGGGCCCATGGAGGGCTCACAAACTCCCCAGTGTTGAGAAGGCAGAGTCAGCTCAATAGAACAAGACAGGTGTCCAAAGTCGTCCGTTCTCCCCAGGTGAGGAGAGAGGTGGGTAGGAGTCGGTGCAGCTTCACAAGAATTCAAACCAGCTTCTTGTGGCCTGCAGGCTCCATCTGCCCAGCCCCAGTGGCCACCGACAATGTCTTGAATGCAGGGAGGAGATATCAGTAACCAAAAGCAAGGCGGAAATAAGGGTCTTGGTGCCAAGAGGATAGAAAGAAAAGTTTCTGATTTCAATCCCCTTAAACCACAGATGCAGAGCGTAACAAGGTTAAAAAGAATTTGAGAACTCATCCACACCAAACCCTCAATCCACAGATGAGTAAACCAAGGTCCAAGGCGAAGAGGGCTTTGTCCATGGCCAACGGGACAGAAGCCCAGTCCACGGAGTAGTCCACCAAAAACTCTCACTCAAAATCCAATTCATCCAACCAAATGAACCACAGTTTGGCAAGTGTGATGAATTCTGGAAACAGGTAAACTATATGCCACAAACTGTGAGATGCACACATCTGATTTACCAAGTCCATGCCAGCCAAGGGCACTTGGCCCGGGGTCACGCTCCTTCCTTTAAGCCATTTCATGAAATCAGAGCTTGCGACGCATCATTTCCTTGGCATCTGAGTCACTCTCAAATGGTCTCCAGAAGATGCCAACCTGGGTCTGCCCATTCAGGAACAGGCCAAATCGTTAAGTATGAGTTCCAAGTTTCTTCCTCCCACCCAACCCCCAGGCCTATTTTCAGGTAAAGAAAGTATCTTCAAACACCCAAACCAGAGACTTTGGTTGTGTGTGCCACGCTCTTGCAGTGAGCAGTCCCCTCCAGGACTCTGGCCTCGCCCATGGAGGGCACATCCCCGTCTGTCCAGGGTTATGTCCTTGGCAGACAGGGACAGGGAAGCAAGCCGCCTTCTGAAAGGAGATACAGGCCCCCGGGGAGGCCACAGGGAAGGGAACGAGGGGAGCCGCTGTGCAAGAGGCAGGCAGCGGGGACTCAGACTCAGGCACGGTCCTGGTGCTGCTTTCTACATCTGAACTAGAAAGTATTTCTTGGGCAGCTCTTCCTGGGATCCACGAGGAGTGCAGGCCCAGGCACCCCGCCACAAGTCTCATTGAGGACAACTCTGTCCAGAGCTCTCAGGGCTCTCAATCATCTCCAGCAGAGGCCAATTCTGAAACATGCAGAGAAGAGCGCAGGCTTCTACGGGAGAAGGACAAGACAGGGACACGCCTCCCCGACATCAGGAATCACTATAAGGTTGTAGTAATTAAGAAAGGGTAGGATTGGCACAGGGACAGATAAATAGATCAATGAAACAGAAGTGAGTCCAGAAACTGATCTGTGCATATATGGAACCTTGATATATGAGAGAGGTGATGTACAAATCAGCAGGGAAGGATGGAGTCTAATAAACAGTGCGGGGGTAACTGGTTATCCATTCAGAAACAAGGGAAAAAAGAAATTGGGTCTTTACTTTACACCAGACACAAAAATCAATTCCAGGTGGATTGGAGACCTAAATGGGAAAGGCAAAGGCATCTTACGTGGTCAGCTCTAGGTCCACTCAAAAATCCTTGGGAACAAACCTGCCCTTCAAAAGGAAACAAGTGGTTCTGGGATGCTCACACAGGGTGGGTCCCAGTCATCCTGCTGCCCTGATCCAATGCCGCCTCCTCCAGGAAGTCCTTCCTGACTACCATTCCTTACGAAGCAGGACCCCTGCCTTTGCTCCTCTGGCCCCACCAAGGGGTATCAGGGAAATAAGAACCATAATCTTCACAACTGTGTCAAAAGCTCACATTTCTTGATCACTTACTCTGTGTCAGGAGATTTACCTGAATGTTCCATTTAATCCTCACAGTAACACCATGAAATAGGCTCTATGTTATCTCCATTTTACAGATGACGGGCCTGAGACCTATTATAGAATGGAAGTAGCTTGCCTAAAGTCACACACTTTCCAGATGCCAGAGCCAGGATTCCAAACCGGATCCATCTGACTCCGAGGTCTTGACTGCTACTCTAATGATTTTCATACCGTGAGTCCTGGCCCGTAAACAGATGTTAAATCAACCTGCTAGTGCCAATATCAAAAAAAATGAAATTAGAATGGACGAGAACAGAAAATATCCAAGGTTCTCACACACAGAAAGAGAAAGTCCTGTTCTGAAAATCTCTGTTTCACATATAAGTGGAGATGAAAATATCTTTCTTGCTTTAGATCAGGACCAGCAAAGTCTTCATTCTATGCAGCAAGGAGCTGTTGGGAAAAGGTCACTGTCTGGACTTCATGCCCTGTAGAATGAGATGTGGTCATGGCGTTGGCCATTCGGCATTTGCTGAAAAAGGAACTTGGAAGTAAATCTCCCTGGAACAGCTCCTTCAGTGTATCGCCATGAGCAAAGACAGGAGGCCAAAACACTTCTGCAAGGGTCTCTTCTGAGATGATGTTTCCTAGAGTTCCTGGGTCCCTGGGGTAGAGGATGGGGCCCCTTCCTCCCTGTGTTACCAAGCGCCCTCATGGAGGCCTGAGCGTAATGAATGCTCAGTGTTTACTGAGCTTTTCTTGCGCAAGACGGCCTGCGAAGCCCAGACATGCTCTTTGACTTTCATCCACAAACCCCAAGGGAAAAGATACGTGGCCCCAGAAGCTTCATGGAAGGGGAGCAGGAACACAGAGCCATTACTTAACCGTGGAACAGGAAGTGGCCAGAAAAGGGTTCTTGCGCAGGCTGTATTTAGCCTGGGTCTGAGCAACCCCTAACCCTCGAGGCTGGTAAGAGCTGAAGGAAGGCTCAGAGGCCACAGGAGTGGTCTGCAACAGGGCACATGACAGCAGTTGGCAGAAGTGAAAGTAGAAGAGGCAAAGAAGGAAAGGAAGCCCAGCGGGGATCCCCCTGCGAAGGGCTTGCACAGTGAACACATGGACGAACAAATGAGTGAGTGACCCTTGGGCGGGCCAGGCAGCAATCTCCACAAAGAGTCAGCATCCCTGCGGCACTGCCTCCCCCACCTGCCAGACCTACTAGACTTCCTAGACCCCAGGCTGGGCAGCTGGGGCTGCAAGGGAAAGCCTTTATTTTCCCCCAAGAAAACAGAGCCCAACATGAGTTCCAGAAAATTGCAAGAGGGTGGCCAATAGGGATAGTCCTTCATTTCTTTGATGTCCCATTGGAAGGGTCATTTTGCTATTTGATTTTGTTTTAGTCAAATTCGTCGCCAGAGTCTGCCCAGTCACTGGGCATGTGGGTGGCTCAGTCACTTGAACATCTGACTCTTGGTTTTGGCTCAGGTCATGATCTCACAGTTCATGAGTTCGAGCCCCACATTGGGCTCCACTCTGACATTACAGAGCCTGTCTGGGATTCTCTGTCAACCTCTCTCTCTGCTCCTCCTCTGCTTGCTCTCTCTCTCAAAAATAAATAAAAAATCTTAAAAACATTGAAAAAAAAGTTTGCCCAGTCACTTCAACAGTTGAGTTTGGATCACCTTTCCAAGACAAAAAAAATCTAACTTGTGTTACATGTGCGGTGGGAGGTCTCCAAATCCAGCCTCCTGACCACCAGGAGACCTTCTGGCTGCCAGAAGGTAAAGTGAATTTCCCGAAAGAGTGGGGGCTCTGGGGACTTAGAAACCGGCCCTCAGCAGGCCTTTGACATCTGTTCTTACCACCACCACCTTGCATCTTGCCCCATGACTAGGTTCTCTTAATGGTGGGATTCCACAGTGCTCACCCTCTCCTGTATGGGCCAGCGGATGCTGCCATTTAGTTCGGTGTGTCATTATTCCCTAAGCCCTCACCACTGCCTGTCCCTCTGAGTTGTCTACGATTTTGAAAGGAAGCTGCGCTCTCTCCGGTCTCCTGGGCAACCTTGTTACAGTGGCTGCCCTACAGCCTGCCTCTGCCTGGAGCACCTGTCTCACCCAGTCACTTACAGAACTCCTACACTGTCCACAAGACCCAGCTCAAATGTCACCTCCTTAGTGAAGCCATGCCTGGGCTCCACATTCTACAATGAAATCATGACTCCATTGTCTATGCTTCATACTTGATGGCATTTCCCACATATCTCCATTATCACTTTCCACCATATTCAGTGGCTGTTTGTCTATCTCCTTCTAGGTTGCCTTGTGAGCATGGAACATGGAACATCCCTAGAGCCCCTTAAGTGCTTGCTGAATGAATATATGGTCCAGTAGCATGACATCAACCACAACACTCAAAAATTAACTGAGAAGTGTTTCAACAAGAACTCCAAGTGATATGCCAACCTTCCCCTGCCCCTCCCTCCCCTCATCAAGTCAGGGGACCAGAAAACAATGTCCTTGTCCACCCTTAAACACTCTAGGGAAATGCTTTCGCTCATCTGTGATTTTAAAAAATCAGGCATTTAACATTTGTTAGAGGAAATAAAGGCACCATACAAAAAGCTTTTTTTTTTTTTTAGCTCGGAAGACACTGCCCCTTAGAATAGTCAAAGTCCTTGCCAGTCCCTCCTGCAATTCAGTACCCCAGGAGCCAGTTGTTTTCTTCTGATAAATGGTTAACCTGCCTGTGGTTGAACAACAGGAACACTGGAAACCACTATATATCCCTTTTTGTGTTGGCTGCCAGGAAGCTCGGGCTATTTCAGTGTTCAACCACCACAACCACATCATTGCTCGCACCTGCTGTTATGATCTTCCCTTTTTCACTACATAATTTCTGAACTTTCTTTTCAGCCTTAACTGACTGATTTAGATACATGTAATTGTTTATTTTTCAGGACACCTCAAGTCCTTTGTGAAAATAAAGGCTGGGAGATTAGAAAGAATGAAAGA